CATCCTCCCACTGGTATTATTCTCACCTAAACTTAGATAAGTCCGTTGTTCTCTCCGTTGGTGAGGCGTGGAAAAGGGTAGAGATAAACATGTGGGTTCCCTTTTTCTCAATGGATACACATCAACATATCCCACAAAATCTGGTGTCCATCCATGGCTTGTCAACATAAACCAAAGAAAAACTACGCAATTCCACTCGTAGTTCTCTTCCATTGTTTAGCCATTCAATGGAGCATGATTTCAAGAGAGGTTTTATTCCAAACTCATTTTGATCAGCCAAACTACTCAATGGTCTATCAATGACCACGAGTTCATCTTCTTCTTGGCCTAGAGACTTAACATCTTGTGCTTGTTCTTGCCCCAAAGTTTCTGGTTGCTTTTCACATTTAACCAAGGCCATCATTCTCTTATTTGGGCATGTAATAGCATAATGACCAAACCTTTGACAATAATAGCAGCTAGTAACATTAGGCTTGGTGGAAGGCTTCTTTTGGAGATTGTACAATGAGGTGGCAGGTACGGTTTTGCTAGGGGCAGAAAGTGTTATATCCGGGCTTGGCCCTATCATACCCTCTCCCATGTCCCAAACCCTCATAGGAACCAAAGGACTTAGGGTCAAACATTATGATCCATTTTAGTAAGAATTCCAAGTCCTTTGACCCGAAAGGCCAAATAACTTCCGTTTTTGACCTCGGGGTTCCGCTGGCCAATCCTCGTTCCATCCAACCCAACCCCAAACATCCAAAAGTATTTTATTTCCTTTGGATATCCAAAATAAAGTTCTTCCTACTCTTATTTTAGCCCAGGGCCAAAAATAAGAGTGTGTAAAATAAAACCTTTTGTTTGTTGTTATTTTCCTTCTTTTGAGCCTTTTATTAAGCCAATAAAATCCTCCCTTTATTCCATTCACCCCCTGGCCAAAATACACTTCACAATCCCAATATAAACACTCACAAAGAGCCAAAACCCTTACCCACCACTTGCCACTCATTTCTGCCCATGTTCCCTCACAAATAACCCAAACCCATATGTCCAAAACCACCCCTCATAATGCCCAGCCCTGTCCCCTTTTATTGGCCAAACACAACCCCTCATTTTTACCCAAATGATAGGCTTAAAACCCAGGAACCAACCACTACAAACAAAAGCTCAAAACCCCAACAACCCCAGCCCCATCCCTGAATTTTATCCCACTTTGGAGACAAGATTCAATGAGTGTTACCCCATACTTTGGAAGTGGGTGTTGCTAGGAAGCTTCCTCATGTTCACATTCAATGTATTATGTATTTTCTCCTTCCCCTTTCCCTATATAACTCAGGCCATATGGCCATTGTAACACAACCTTTTGAATATTAAAATTTTTTACTCTTTGAGTATTATTAAAATAGTGTGATGTTATTTTAGCCAAATTCCTAATTCTATATCTTAAGAGTGGTTATCTTAAGTGTGAGTTTTAGGTTCTAGATATTTGATTAAGTGTGTCATATCTTAATTAAATTCTAGATTCAAACCCCAAGTTAGGATAAGAGTGTGTAATATCTCTTAAACACTAACTTGGTTTATCCATCCCTGATTTTCTTCCATTTCATACCTCCCCATTTCTCCTCTTAATCTTACTCTTTTCTTCCATTAAAAATACCCAAAAGAACTCCTTCATCATCCCCATATTTTTCCAACCTTTCCCCACACAAACACCATCATTTCGTTCCCAGAAATTTGCCAAAATAATCGATTATCCTTGTTAATAATCAATTATCATTCCTCCATCAAAACACCTGCATGCGTCGTTAATCGATTATCACCCTCGGCAATCGATTATCATACATCAAGGGAAACTCCTGCAGTCCTCTATAATCAATTATCACCATACTGATAATCGACTATCAATCCCTCTAGAAAATCCAAGAAACTACACCATCAGACAATCAATTATCTAAGATAGACAATCGATTATCCTCTTGTCCTGAAATCAAAAGGCGTTATTTCTTGAGTTTGCGCTTATTACTGGTAAACCCGGAGCCGAGATATAACATTTGGTATCAGAGCTTGTTGTTCCACATCCCTCAAGGGGCCAAAACACCATCTCCTACATTTTCTCTTTTGAAACATTTCTCACATCATCCAAGATATGTCTCATTATGATCTAGTTGCTGCCCAAGAAAAATTAAAGAAGGAAGTTGAGCTTATGATGAAAGAAGTCAAGGAGCTCACTAATTCAGTGGAGATTCCCACGTTTGAAGGAAGAAATGAACCAGAGAAGTTCTCAAAGTGGTTAGAAAAAGTTGAAGACGTCTTTATGCTCAAAGACGTACCCGAAGACAAGAAGGTCAAGCTAGTGGTGGCAAAGTTTCAAAGACATGCCTCTACATGGTGGGCTAGCGTTGCTTCAAAACGAAGGCTCCAAGGCAAGGCTAAGGTGAGAACTTGGGAAAAGTTCAGAAAACTCTTAGTTAAGAGATTTTGTTCCAATAATCATATCCACCAGGTACCTAAAACTATTCTCCCTTTTCACCCAAAACTCTTTCTCAAGTCATACCACCTTCTCCACAACGAAAGCCACCCCATACCACCCTATCTTCCCCAACCTTAATCACCTCTAAATTCCCCCCTTCATCTAGCACCCCTGGCGTCCAGAATATCTCTCACCCAACTCCTTATCGTCTACGCAAAAATCCTACTCAAGCCACCTCGTTACCTTCCTTAGTCACTGCCCCTATTCACCCCAGCGCCATCTCCACACCTCTGACCCAAAACCCTTCAAACCCCATCTATATTTCATCCCAAGTTGCTACCCTAACAAATCCCAACACCCCCTCCATGCCCCAACCTCTAAACTCTCCTACAACCATGCCTATAACTCCTCCCCAAACGGTCCTAACCAGTCCCACTCCTACCCCTACACACCCACTTGAAAATTCATCTAAACCCATTCCTTTACCCTGCAAAAACATTGTCCAAAGCACTCTAAAAGCCTCCCCCATCCTCACAGTTCAAAGTCCTCCCAAAACCATAACCTCTTCTCAAAATGACATGGTCACAATCCCAGAAAAATCCAGCTCCACCGTCCCAAAGAAACCCCATTGCTTCCACTCACAAAAGATTGCTCATCATGCTTTTGGGTGTCCAAGTAAAAACAAGAAGTCCTTGGTCCAAAGTGAAGAGAAATCAGAGCTTTTGGGACGAAAGGAAGGACAGGATGATATTAAATCTCTAGGCCAAGATAAAGGTGAACTTGTGGTCATTATAAGACCATTGAGTAGTTTGGCTGATCAAAATAAACTTGGAATCAAACCCCTCTTGAAATCCTGTTCCATTGAATGGCTCAACCATGGAAGAGAACTACGAGTGGAATTGCACAGTTTTTCTTTATTTCATATTGACAGGCCATGGACACCTAATTTTGTGGATATGTATTCATTGAGAAAAGGTTCGCCGGCAGACTTATTCCTACCCCTGACCGCACCTAACCAAGGGATAGAACCCCGGGTTCATCTAAGTTTAGGGGAAAACAAACCCAATGGCGAATTAGAGAAGAAGGATGTTGTTTCCACCAGAGTTGAGTTCTTAAGCTGTGGATTTCCTAGCTTAAATATGCAAGTTAATGAGAAGAAGGTTCAACATGGAGCTATGAGCCAAGATGTGGAAGCCTCACCTCAAAGGCTATCTTCACTAACGGTACCTCGTGCCAAGTTTGTTAAGTTTTGGCAGGTTCCATGTGATGAAGAAACTTCTGAGTTTTATCATGAGATTCATGAAAAGCTTATGAAGAGAAAGAAGTTGAAGAGACCCATCCACTTTTGGCCCGGAGACCTAGTGTGGGCAAAGAGAGCGTTTCTCCGACAAACGCAAGGCAAAGCTTCAACCTCGAGAAGATGGTCCATTTGAAGTGGTAGCCAAGGTCACTAACAATGCCTACATGGTTGCCCTCAATAGAAGTGATGGAGTTTCTGCCACGTTCCATAAGAGAGACGTTAGTCTATATGACGGTCTTGATTATCCATTGAGTTTGAGGGCAAACTCTTTTGAAGACCGGGAGGATGTTATATCCGGGCTTGGCCCTATCATACCCTCTCCCATGTCCCACACCCTCATAGGATCCAAAGGACTTAGGGTCAAACATTATGATCCATTTTAGTAAGAATTCCAAGTCCTTTGACCCGAATGGCCAAAAAACTTCCGTTTTTGACCTCGGGGTTCCGCTGGCCAATCCTCGTTCCATCCAACCCAACCCCAAACATCCAAAAGTATTTTATTTCCTTTGGATATCCAAAATAAAGTTCTTCCTACTCTTATTTTAGCCCAGGGCCAAAAATAAGAGTGTGTAAAATAAAACCTTTTGTTTGTTGTTATTTATACATGATTATAATTTGAAATGAGAACAAAAAAATTTAATTAAGTAAACATTGGATTCAATTCCTTAGTGAGATGGAAAACCAGATTTAGCAATAAGGCCAATAACATCATAAAATTAGATGATATAGTTGTTTACGTCTAAGCATTGAAAACCCAAACAGATCCAACCATCCAAACTAAAAGTCACCCGGTTTAACCCAATTTTCAACCAGTTCAATCGGTTCAAAACCAGCTCCCCATACATGTTTTAAGGGCTCAGCAGACCTGATCACTAGGTATTTCTAGGTCTGTACAATCTGAGGAATCAGTCCAGTTTAAAACACCATAAAATTTATCCAGTTTGCCATGGCATTTCTAGAGATATTAAGGTTTAACACGAAGGCAATGGCAGAAAGCAATAAAGATCAAGCTTGGCCTAGGAAGTGCAGCATTATCAATGACCATAATGACAAAAATAATTAATACAAAAGACTATCACAAAAAAGAATGAAATAAAGAGAAAGCATGATGAAGAGGTAACACATATGTGTCAATGTAGGAGAAATGACCTTCTTCAGGTTGAGTTATTGCATGTTTTGGGTTAAAAATCAAGACCACTGTTACAATACTAGATAATGCTCCTAGTTGGATCTGGATTAATAATGCAAAAAACGCATCTGCTTTTCTTTTTTGGGGAAAAAAGGAGACTGCTAGATTGCAATTTATTGCATGGAAATAGTCAAATAGAAAAACAAAAAAGGAACCTCCATCAGAATTAAAATACTTTCGAAATGACAATGTGAAATAACATATCTCAAAATGGCAATGAGAAGTATTCTCACCGTAGCAATGTGAAATAACTGAATTCATTTTTACCGTTACTTCTGGTTATGAATATAGGAAGACATTGCATCAACAAGCTCTCCAAGATTGTGTGGAGGGGTATTTGTGGCCATGCACACCTGAAAGCATAAAGAATGGAAACAATCGCATGACAAAGGGATACATAAACTGGTATAAAAATGCATAGTAGATAAAATCATTTAACTATTTTCTATTTTCTAGGTCAGACCGATTACCTCAATTCCAGAGGCATCATTCAGGACCAGATTCGAGATTCTAGCAGGGGGTAGAGATGGCTCTTTTTGTGATTTGTCAAAATTTGGGAAAAAATTAACCTGTAAATCATCATTTCATAAGTGACTAACTCAGAAGTAAGAAACTTATAATTAACGTGTAATGTAGATGACATACTGCATTTTGATCTATGTCTGAGAGCGGCATTGCCTCGGTAAGTGCCTGAAAATGAAACCATTTATTAGCATCGTGAGAAACGAAAACCATGGGCCTACAGTTTACCAACTAGTAAACATGCCCTTTATAAATGAAGGGGTTATTTGATTTAATATGGATATCAGAATAAGAATATAAAACTTACAAAAGATAATGGGTATTGGCAAAAGAGGCTTTACCCATCAACATAAAGCATAAATGGCCATTAACATTAATTTTAACAAAATATTACATGCGTTTTGTTTCATTCCCCTCCCTCTCTTCAGGAAGCAGCCATTGTGATTCCAAGACGAAGCACGTCTCGTACAGACCTCAGGGATCCAAAAGTAATTATGTACCTAAAATTAGGGGTCAAGCTACGTACATCCAACCCCCCCCCCCACCCAGCCATGAGCGGGAGCCTTTGACCACTGGGGAAATGTTGTTTTTGTTGTATGTAAACTGCAATGAAACAAACAAAGTGGGAGAGAGGAAGTTGTTTGCTACTAGGATTCAAATTCTGGAGAGCAAAATTAAGAATTGATTATACTCAGTATATAAGAAAAATACAGCACCAACTGATTTTAGCTAATTGTAAGAATCTGAATCCTGGAATAAGCAGAAAAATTGAAACCGGATGAGCTTTTATTATGCAAGAATGCAAGTGATAAACCTTTTTTGCTCATAGCATAATCTTTTTCACATTTCATGCAATAAGATTGTGTCGG